CATCTGGTAGGTGGGTTGCTTGGCCAGACTACAAATCATTTAAATCCGTCAAATGGCTGAATTGTAGCACTAGCTGGACCAGCTTGAGTTCAGGGCTCTGGCATGCAAGTCAGAGTGAGGAGAAAACATCTCTAAAAACAATTCTGAAATAAGCAGTTCGCTCTGGTTATTTCACTACTTCCGGCACCCAGCTCCCATGTATTCGGCCCCTAAAAAGCAATACACTTAATAACTCCACATTGCCTTGGAGTCAGTTTTCTCCAAGCCACTGTAACCGCCAAACTTACAGACCTTCCCTTGCCTTAAATCACAAAGAGCCAGTAATCTTCACTAGGTGTCAGTTTGAGTCCCTGGACTTCCTTTTAATTCACACAAATGTGTAAATGGCTAATGGGGCTTTAACCTTCCCAGAAGAATTTGCATTTTGAGTACAGGCTCTTAGCGCCCGCCGGGACCGAGGACTGAGGATTTGTCTGGGGGAGGGGTGGAAGCCAGCACACCGGCCACCCAGTGGGGCTCAGAGGTGGTTTCCAGGGCCTCTCCCCATCTTGCTTCGGAACCCATTCGCTAAAAGCTCCGAGAGGCGTCAGCAGAGCAGGGCAAGGGCAAGCCGGTGTGCGCCCGGGGCAGTGGCTCATTCCTTGGGGCTGCCTGTCCCGTTAAGATCCTACAGTTGCAGAGGGAGAGCTTGGAGGGGGCGCAGCTGGAAAACAGGCCGACCCTCAGCCCCAAATTCGGTGGGTCGAGTGAGGGCAGAAACCTGCATTTTAAACACTCCATGTGATTCTGACTTCAGATCGACAGAGACATGGAGGGGGCAAGTAATTTGACTATTTTTGGAAATTTAGGTAAATTTACCCCACCTACATAATGTCCTATAGGATACTTGATGTATTAAATTCCACCTAAAGCTCTAAGGAAAAACAAAACAAACAAGCAAAATGGCCTTAACTGATCATCAAGGTCTTTTGAATTGTACCTAGTCATTGTACTTTTAGTTTCCAAACCTACATTCCTTTCAACAGTTCTTAAAATTTAATGCCAGAAGCTTTAGATCTAAGAAAGAAAACATGTATGTGAAGACAGACTGAAGATTTCAAATCAAGGGGTCAAATGTATGTTATCAACTTTTTTTTTTTTAAAGATTTTATTTATTTATTTGAGAGAGAGAGAGAATGAGAGATAGAAAGC